TTGGCATCAGTTCATACATACCTCACCGACATCAGGAATGAAACGAAAGCAGAAGGCGCAGCAAGTGGATCTATCTCAATGCTAGATGTCTTTATACAGAAACGTTGCATCCCAGTTGTGTGGATACCCTTTTCATGAAGAGAAGCGCATATTGCACTGATGGAACTCGAAGAAAGCTTGCAGTGAATAAACTCAAGCGAAGTTAACGTGTCTCGGGTCTGGATCAAGAGCTTGCACAAGGGCTCAACCTGGAGTATCATGGATCATCAGTAATATAATTCCAGCGAACTAAACCTATGAGACTAAATAGAGAAAGCGCCTTACATGCTTCTCGGATCTGATCCAACGTAGAACCAAACTTTGCAATTTACTTGTCATCAATAACTCCTACAGTAACAAAGCCTAAAGATTATTTATGTCCTCCCTCTAGAGGTTGAATGATTGATTCATCTACAGAGATACAAATTTGAAGTTCTAAGAGAAAGCTAAACATCGAAAGCAATACAAAATAGCACGGCGATCAGTGATACTGAAACAAAAATAAAACAGATGACTTTATTTACATCGTCCGAGCATAGTTTAATTGCTTACAGAAGTTTCTGTAACGCAGAGCACATTCAGAAGCCTCAGACACCTGCAACAGGTAAGAGTGAACGTAAAGAAACATAAGTATGATAGAGTGTTAAATCAGTCCAAACCAGATATCTCACGCACAACCAGTCATGAGTGATATAAAACTTAGGCAAGGTGAAAGTAATACAGTGTATCCGTATATACAAGGAACAACGTGTGAGGCTATGAAACGTTTAATAATCAGAGAAACATGAAATGTTACTCAACCTAAGATACGGTCCAAAAGTTTGGAAATGAAAAGATAGTTCCTTGCAGACACATTTTTGACAAGTCATGTGCTCTTCATGGCAAATGTATCTCAGTATGTTATCTAGCAACAGAAAAATACAACATGAATAGTGAATTGAAATTCTTACACAACTGACAAATCAATCCCAATAATTTAATTAGAGCACATACCTGATACATTAATAGAACAAATCCGACCACTAAATGTCGGACGCAGAGCAACCTCAGCTGCTTCATCAACACAACTGTTACTCGGATTAACATAAAACTCAAAACGAAGCGAGATAAAAAAGAAAAACAAATCATCGGTCATTTCATTAACATTAGCATACTTTTGCAGATGCTTTTCCCAGTAAAGCTGTTGCCAATCAGCTGGTGATTCCACACGGTCAACAAACTCAGGCCACCGCAGCTTAAACAACACCTTCCAAGAGCTACCAAGTGTATCATTTCTGCAGAAGAATATAAGTTCAATCTTCCTCAGTCTGTATTCTCAAATTCGAATTAAAAAAAAACAGAAATCAAAAGAGGAATTCATCAAACCTTGAACGTTTTCTGCCATGAATCAAGCAATCATCTCCAGATTCATAATCATCCAAGCAATTAAACGGCCTATACCAATAGAAAAATGTAAATCAAATAAGCGTTGTATCATCTTCATCCATATAATTTGTAACCCTAAACCAAAGAATCTCTTAAGTACTGACATGTTGGTCTGAAAATTCTGCAACGCAAGAGCAGGCAAGTGAGCAACAACAGCATCAAGAAGCTCTGATGGAAGCTCGTATAAATCTGGAATTGTATTATCATCTGGAATTACACAAAACCCAACTCATAATCAACATTATTTGAATCAAATTGGCGCAACAAAAACCTGAGAGCTTTGTTCGAATATAGTGTATATTATCTACAAAAAATTACTTTGAAGGAGCTGAAGTTTGAGAGATTGGATGCAGAGAAACGCAAGAGAAGGAGCTTTCGTCATCCTAACAAAGAGAAGAGAGAGTGCCAATCGCAGCAACGCAACGAAATCTTCCCGCTGTAGCAGCAGCTTTCGCTATTTCTTCTTCCAAAGAGGCAAAGAGTAATAATAATTCGTTATAACTTATGAGGTCTCTTTCATACTGGGCCAATTAGTATGGCCCAATTCGTAATCATGCATAGTTTTTTTTGGGCAATTAAACTTTTGGTGACCAGAAAAATAGATAACTAAACTTTTTAAACATTTGGTAAAGAAAATATTTTCATGAGCATTGTAACCTTTTTAACAAAAAATTGGAAATTTTAAGAAATTTTAATAATGCATCGTATACGGAGAAAGCCAAGTTCTATTCTCTTGTTATTGCTATAAGTGTTAAGCCCGTTTTCAAAATTTGTTGTGCGGAAAGTTTTGAGGTGAGATTCGAAAGATTCAATAGTTTTGAGACAAGATTTGTTTGGTTTTAGCAATGTATTATCGAAAACTCTCTTCTTCATGTAGGTTATGGATCAAGCATTTTACTTCTTTATAGTTTAATCTTTTTTTTTGGTGAGATAGTTTAATCTTTTTTTTTCTTTTATGTTGTGTAACATTTCCAAATATAATATCAATACTAGTTTAGTGGAGAAAAAAATAGTGAACAATAGTTATTTAGACGATTTAACAATTTGTAAGAGAAAGTTAAATATTTGTTTAACTAGAAAGTTTGTTTGAAGTAGTCATTGGATCAAATACCACAAAAAGGTTTTCATAATTTGATGGAGGTTACACATCAATAATTTTTTTTATAATAATGAATATTTTTTTGTCATAATGAAATTTAAAAGTTTTTTTAAAAACATTAAAATTATTTTGAGCATTTTCATCTAAAAATAAATGATAAATTTTTCTAATTAAACATAGAAGAAATATCACGATCATGTAAATCATTACACACATGCAGCCAAAAACATAAGTGCAGAGCAAAAAAAAAAAGTTCCAAAATTTTTAAAAACACTTCCAATAAGCATCAACAAGATAAGAGCAAAACAAATTACAAAATAGAATCACAATAATATCTTCCAACCGACGACTAATGAAATATATTATAAGAAAACAAAAACAATAATTAACAAACAAAGGCGACACCTTTAGAGTCGACAAGACGACCATTGTAAAAAGCTTCCCCGATTCTCTCCTTATCCCCAAAAATTCAAACTTTTTTCTCTTTAGAAAATTCTAAGCAAAAATGCGGCGTAATTGCTGCCATGTTTCGTTTGCTTCAACTCTCAAAATCCTCAATTGTGTTCAAGCTTTCATCGGTGTTTCCATCATTATCTACTCCATTTGGATGCTCCATGAATACAATCGTCACCTTCCCGTCGACCCACCTCCGGCAGCTTCATCAAGCTCCGGAACCGAGATCGCTACTAGTGTATCTCAACCCTTGAAGAATCCTATTGATTTGGTGGCGAGTATCGTTCTCGGGTCTAATGGTGGTGATCATGGGTTTAATCTACGCTCTTTGGATCTTCCTGCTCCATGGTACTGTTTTATCTCTTGTAAAGATTCCGATTTTAGAGATTCATTTTAGTTCACTTAGTTTCCAAGTTTAGGGTTCTACTTAAAAAGTTTCTAAAGTTTAGGGTTTTAGTTAGATTCGTGGTAATTCAGCTGGATCTAGTTTCTATAAATGGAGCTCAAGCTTGGGTTATTACTTGTAGTTCTTCAATTTGTTAGTTCAGGTCAAGGCCTCAAGCTTGGTCTTTGACTTCTTCTCCATTATTAATGAAGTAGCTAGAGAAAAGGGCAAGCTTTAAATGCTTGAAGATGACTGGTTTCAATACAGCTGAAAGAACTTTTGCTAGATTTATCATGTTTGCAAGTTTTCAGCTCATCTGTTTTGTTGATTCGGTTTTTGTCATGCTTGTTTATGCAGGTTCATCTACTCTTTCATGGCGGTTGGTATTTTGGTCTGCATTGTTACCTTCATTGGTTTCATAGCAGCTGAAGCAATCAATGGCTGTTGCTTGTGTTTTGTATCCTTTACACAGAGACCTTGCTTCACTTTTTTCTATCTCTGTTAATAGATCGAGTTTATTAACCTTTATGGGAGTTATTGGAATATGTTTGTTGCGGTGTTTTCCTTGACAGTTTTAAAGTACTCTATTCTCAAAACTCTGCTCATTCTACTCGAAGCTGCACTTGTTGCATACATCGCAATTGACCGTCACTGGGAAAAGGTGAGATCTTTCTTATGTTCTAATCTTGTTTCTTGTGTCCTTGACTTGTTTCTAACTGTTTAGTATCTGTCTTCTGTAGGATCTTCCGTATGATCCAACTGGAGAACTCAGTAGTCTTAGGGCATTCATTGAAGAAAACATTGATATATGCAAATGGGTGGGGATTGCTGTGGTAGCGGTCCAGGTAACTTGAATCAGTCTGTTTAAAATTTGAGCATTTTCATGATATATATTCTCTCTATAGAGTTTAAAGAGAAGACATGAATCTTTCTTGTGTCTTTTCAGCTACTGTCATTGCTACTAGCCATGGTTCTCAGAGCTATGGTTTCAACCCCGAAATCCGAACCTGACGAAGAGGAAGATTATGAGAACCCGAGGAGTAGAACTTGGGACCCACTTCTTGGTTCGCAAGGAAACCAAGCGCCTGCTGGGTCAAGCAAAATTGAAAACTGGAGCTCCCGAATCAGAGAAAAGGTAATGCTGATCATTTTTTTCATATATATTCTTGATACTTTACGGATCCGATAATGCTTTGTGAATCTGTTGATGATTACAACGGTTTCGTTTGGAAATTTTCTTTTTGCAGTATGGTTTGAACCAGAGTCAACCGGTGAACCCGAAAGGTTGATGAAGCCAAATTAATATGTTTCTAAAACTGCATGTGTCCATATGGTCTCTCTGAAGCTCTCTTTCTCTATGTTTGCTCTTTGCAACTTCTCGAGTGTGCATAACATTAAACATTTACTCAAAACGGTGCGTGTTGTGTTTACACATACGGCATAAGCATCTTCGTTTCTGTGTTTGCTTTGTATAAACAATCCTGTCAACAGTTTGAAATTAGCATTTCCACTAGAAAGTTTCGATTCAATTTATCATGAAAAATAGCAAAAAGTAAAATTTGAATTGGATCTCAGAAACAGACTAAAGTAAATGTATAATATAGGTTAAACTCTTTCTTAGATTATATCATCTATATATGTTTCATTATTACAAAAGCTTATATTAATGTATATACGTTGTTTCATCGAGTAAGATCAAAGACTGCTTCTTCAACTAGCTCTTGCAACAATATCACTTCAATTTCAATCCCCAAGTTGTTTGTTTCGACTTGTAGACCATAACTCCACATTTTTCCGACAAACTCGTCACTCACCGCCCAGTCCTGTAACTCTGTCCAAACATGCTCCACCATGTTAAATCCCTTGGTTAAGCCGGTGTGCACAAGTGTTGATGTTGTCTCTGTTATGATGGCATTAACACAGTCAAATACGAGTTTGCGGTTTGATCTCTGTTTCCTGCGTTTGATGAGTTCCTTGTTGGCAAATTTGTCTCTTAATGATGGGTCTAATGGGCTCTCCGGTGAGTGCCAACGGGTCATAAGCGAGTCACTACCGCTGAAACCAGACGCTGTTAAGAGTGTTTTGATGAAGTCATACCAGTCTTCATCTTCCTCGATTCCCATTGCGGGTTTAGTTGTGTCCGTGTATGACTCATCCTCCCATGAGAAAACCCGAGCAATTGATCCGATAGGAGGTGATTTGTCAATCATATTAGATTTTAGAGACATTTCTTCTCCTATGGGATGTGACAGTACCAAAGTGTTACAATTGATAAAACTCTTAGAATGATTAACAACATAGAGATAAAACTAACCTTGAGTGGTCCATGGCTTTGCTGATACAGAACATTCGTCTTCAAAAGCCGGCTGTAAAACCGAAATTGGACTCGGCTGGTCCTGGTTTTCATTTTCCACATCACCCTGCAAACAAATCAATGGCCAATGATTAAACCAAGAATGGTTTCCGAGCATCTTCTGAAATTCACAACCAGTTTTGGATTGTGATTTACCTCGCTTGTAAAAATATTTTGTTGTTGTAATGCATCACGGTTTATAGCCAATTGAGACGGTGCATCTTTGACCTTGTTTGATTTTTTATTCCGGAAGAAGAAGAAGCTTGAAACTTTCCACGATGGCTTTAAGCTTCTTGACTCAGTAAGCTCTTGGGGAGCTTGTGCTTTTGAAGTTCCACCATTGAGCCTAATCTCAGGGACTGATTTTGACCTTTCAAGGGTATTCAGAAAATCACTTGTGCTTTCTACTTGATCTAGACCACTGCCTATGCATGAGACTGATCGTCTCGTTTCTTGTTTCACTTTGTTGCTCTCTTCACTGGATCCGGTAGGCACTTTCGTCTCTGAAAGTGCAAGCACTTCGCCTAAGGCCGTTGAGACCTTCGGGACGTTTTTTGGTTGATGTGTGTCTTCGTTTAGTGACATCATTGCCCATCTCTCAGAGAGCCGTTTCTTTGCCTCTCTGTAGACAGATGAGTCTGGAGAAAATGAGACTCGACTGAACGAAGAGGAAGAAAAAGGACTCTCAAACCTATTCGCACAGTCCCATGAATGCCTAGAGGATGGTGACATGATCTCAGAGTTAGTAATGTTTCCCACTGGATATTCGTAATTTGACCTGTTTAACGAATAATCATCACCGATATAGCCATTGGACAAGACTGAAGAAGAAGAAGAAAGGGTCTCGTTCCTGCAATGACCCTCAAAAGTTTCACGTATTTGACGTGTAATTTCCTTTGCCACTTCTCTAGTCTCAGCATCTCCAGCCTCATCAAAATAAGGAGGAGATGAAGCAATAGCCTTTATATCTAGAGACTTCCCAGGACTAGGCTTCAAGACAACTATTCGAGTTGGCTGCACAGCATCGATCCATCCAGTTTCCTGATTCAAAGAAGCCGGTTTCTTACTATCTTCAACCAAACAGTTCTGAGCACCAACAGCCTTTGAAGGTCTCAATACCGTAATGCGCTTAGCCTCTGGATGAGGAGGAACAGGCTGATGGTCAGAGAGAGGCTGAGAAAACAACGAATTTGATTCCTGGAGAAACTTAACGAACAAATCTTTGTTAGAACTTAACACTTGGATTGCTTCTTGGAACTCACTGGACCTGTGAAGCTTGTCATCTGTCACTTCCATGAACTTTCGACGAACAAGATCCATCTGTTTATCACTCATACTTCCTTTTCTTGAAAGATTCGCCTTCTGATCCCAGATTTCATCTCCTCTATGAAACTTACTACCCACACAAGTCAACGAACAGCGTGAAGAGCTTCTGGATCTGCTCCTTGGTGCAGCAGTCTCTAAACCCATTAATCTAGCAACTACATTGTTAGAACTCTGTCTATCTTCAACAACCTCTTTCGACATTTCTCGAGCAATGAGCTTTTTCATAGATTCAGTACTTGTCTCCTTCGATTTGCTAAAACTACTTCTCCTCAAATCAGGCATATAATCTCAGTGGAAGCTTCTCAAATTCAGCGACAGCATCAGATCGAATATTCCTAAATCTGCCAAATTTCGAAAATCATGAAATTGAAGAGCTCGTGAATGAGTAACGAATCTTGCTAAATCGATGTAACGAAAAAAATTGACAAACAAAGAAGCTAATGTGAAGATAAAGAGAACAGAGATCAGATTCCGGCAACGAGGAAAACGGAAAAAGCATCGGAAAGTGAGATCGGAGCTATAAGTCAAGACATTTTCTGCTTCACTCACTGAGAAAGAGAAAGATAAAGAGAGCGAGAGAGAGACCTCTTACTCTGTCAGTAGGTAGCTAGGTTTAGAAACATTGTCAAGCTCTGACGTCGCCGGAGAAATAGCTTGGCCGGAGAAGATTTATGTGAATCTAACAGGAAGAGCTTTTTAAGGGATGACGTCGTCTGATACCAAAAGGGCTTTTTTATTATTTAGAGGGAAAATCTGCAAATGACCTTTTTCCATAATATTTTAATATATATATAATTGTTTAATAAAATCCTTAATTAAAAGTTTGTAAATGAACTAATGATCTACAAAATTAAATAATATATGGTTGAAGTACATTAGCTTGTTGGCATGGATGCATTATGGTTTGTCTCAACTAATAGGTGAAATTAGGAAGTGGATGCATTTACTAAAGTTTTGATTCTAGTTTCATTACTATAATTGATAATTCTTCTTATCTTCTCCAGTTTCTTTTTCTTATGGATTAATCCTTTTTTTAACTAAATCGATAAAGTTATGTACAATAGATGGTCTTTTTCGCACCAAAAAAAAAAAATCGACATAAGTCTATGCAAAGACGATGAACATATTTACTACTAGTAGGTAGAATTTTGATATGTTTATTGTAAATTTATTGTTAATTTGCGAGAAAATGAAATAAAAATGTAGTTGGTTCAAACCGTATAAACAATGAAAATAAAAAAATAAAATTTAATTTATTTATTTTTTCTTGCAAGCTAAAAATAGATTTATATGGCATTATATGAAATATCACAATTGCTAATAAATGATCCAAGAATCAATAAAACAATAGCATGTTATATGTTTTATCATATATATGCAAGCAAATATAAAAGAATGATGATAATCTACTCTAATATGTAATTTCATATACCCAATGTAATTGGGACCAGGAATATCTTAAATGGACCAACTAACTTATTCTCTTAATGTCTTTTCTCTTGTCCAAATGTAACCCCCAAAATAACACATTGAGATGCAATATTTTTTCATTGTTTTCAAATTTAGTAACCGAGCATTCTAAAAGATAAAAGTAATTTCACCCCAATGATAAAATTTAGGAAACAATCATTTTGTTTTTGTTCAAGGACAAGAGTGAGTTTTGAGCATTTTGGATAATTTTATCCTTTTCATTTAATTGTCACACCTATAAATAATGATTGCATGTCATTTATAATTATAACTACTATGTTTGTAAACACATCGATCTCAATCATCTCATCTTAGTTCTCTATAGTTGATATGCTAGACTCCGTTTATAAATGTTTGGTTGGATGTCAAAATTCCATTTATTTCTTTTTATAATTTCGTTTATAAAGATGCTTTTCTTACGAAAGAAAGAATGTATGATTGAGTATTTTAACAGATTAAGTATTTGTGTTTTTTTTTAATATAGAAAATGACACTTGTGGTCTACTATTGTACTTATCACTAATTAGTAGTGTACTTATCTAGTTAGGCTATTGTAATCTAGGTTCATCAGAATATTTACATGTTAACATACAAACATTGCTTATGCATGCCATAAAATAAGATATCATGTCATATCTACAATTTTTTTTTTTTTTTGATATCCTATCTGTATCTACAACACTTAAAAACTCTTAACATTTCGATAAGAAAACTTTTTGCTATTCTCCCAAAGATAAAATTAAGCCAAACATATATACATCACAATTCACAAAGTATTTAAAAAATAAAAACTATAAAACCTTCTATAGCATAATAGCAATATAGAGTGTAGACAACGTGGACACATATCCACGCTTTGATTCTCGTTTCTCTGGTTAGACTTCACATCACGTCGAACCGGGTTTTATAACCAAACGGCCATCAAACTTTCAACTATTCAACCGGTTCGTAGAATTTCGGTTCCGTTGCATTAAGTAGGAGCTAACTTTTTGACCCAATTCTATGTCCTCTTGGTCAAACTAACTGTTAGTTTTTTTTTTTGAATAACCGCGGGTCTCCCAAAGGCTTCCTAGGCCCAAGGACTAATCCCACGAGGCTGGCAATTCCCCTATGTAAACCTGCCAGTGGCCGTGCCTCGAACCCTGGTGGCGGAAGTCACAGCTGTGACCCCTTTACCACTAGGCCACAAGGCCCGGTTACTAACTGTTAGTTTTGGTTATAGGGTGTTTGTATTTATGAAAATTAAGAGTATAACTATAAATTAACTGATTCGGGTCAGGACTCAGGAAGTTGTCAGCAAACGAGAAGATGGTAATGATGTGGTGGTACATTCACACGAAGTTGGGTTAAGAAACTAGCTGTTTTTGTTGTACTTATAATTTCTAAATAGTTTGTTTTGTTTTTGGGATAATGCGTTACTATTCTTCTCTTAGTTTGAAAATTAAAGATTGTTGCGACAAAGTTATAAACATTAAAGATGGTTTTAAGTGTCTCGGATCAGTTTGTGAAAGCAAGAAACATATTAGACTCGAGAATTTTGTTTAGCAGAGGCTTTAGTTTAGGAATCTGAAGCTTCTTGTTTGTGAATATGCAATGTGGTCATCTTATTAATCAACCAAGACTAAAATAATTTTTGTCGAACCAAAAACTGTAAGCCAAGTAATATTGTCTATTAATTAGTTCAGTCTAAAAATCAATTTCCAATGGACACAACTTTAAACACTACAGATTTTCAGCTGACCATACACACAAAAGAATTCATAATTACAATATTTATTGGGGAGAGTAATGATAATTGATGTGAAATAAAAGTACCATCAAATTAAATTGAATAGGGAAAAGCAATTATCAAAGAACCAACCATATATATCTGCATTTACATATTACATTCCTTCTATTATTCATTTTTTTAAATACCACCTTTCTCAATCTTGTTAGTGATTTTTTTAAGAAAATGAGTTCCAACTACTTTGGTAGTTGAGAAGGGTCTAAGAGGTTCATCAAAAAACAGAGAACAAAAACAAAGAATTTGTCAAGAATGGTGACCAATTACTAATGTCCCCATGAATAACTTTGGTATAAAGATCTTTTAACATCTCAACCATATAATCAGTCTATGTCGGTTTGATTCATATCGTTCATCTACATCTCCTTCAATCAATTCATCAGTAATGTAGTTCGGACAAGATCTGAAACTATCGATTCCTATGTCTTCTAACATAAATGTGTTACTTAAAGGAATGCAGAACAATGGCATGCCACAATATCTTCAAAAATCAGTGTGAGTAAGTAGGAGTGATGCTGACCTGTGGCAATCAAACTCGGTTCGAGTAGTTCTTCATTTGCTGCCTTAAGCTCATAGCCATTCTATGAATCAATCCAAACTTGAGGTGACTGAATCTGAAAGGGGATCCAATCATGAGACTTAAAACGATCACTCTGTGTAGGACTTGACGCTTCCGACATATTTGAATTGCTGATGCTGGAAAATGGAAAGGATACTATTTCACATCCAGGGACTCTAAAAGGACAATGATCCACAGGAGAGTTTGAAAGATTATGATAGTTTATGTAGTCTCTGGTTAAACAATCTGAGCCATTTGTGTGATGAAATGTCTGGAGATTCTGGTTTGCAGCAACCACATCTTCGTCACCAATAATATACCTCTCGAGTTCATCATGCTCAAAATGGCTAGCATGGTTCGTTGCTGGTAAGAGGAAACTGCCTGAAGTGTAATGAGAGAGCAGAGGTAAAGGGTACAGCTCTTTCGTAACCAAATCATGGGATGAAGAAAAGTCAGAGTTCCATGGATTATCCGTCAAAGATGAGGATGATGCAGTTGGATACGTGATGAGTCTTGTGCGATAACTAAGTGGAAAATCATCTGTCTTTCTGGTGCTTGCGGTTTCAGTATTCCACTCGAGAAGTAATGCCGATGAAGGCTCTCTATGTTCGTGTGATAAGTCCTCTAAGCTGTATCCAGTTTCTCCTCTGTGATAATCCATTGAAAGAGGCTTGTAGTTTCTAAAATGGAGGCTAGATATGGGAGAACAGTCAAAATTTTCTTCAACAGGAAGCGACAGAAACTCCTTCTGTTTCAACAGTAGAGGTTGATAAACCGATTCCTTAGGATATAAGATGGGAAAGCTAATCTCTTCAGGATCTCTTGGGATGAAACTGCTCTGAACATGACCTGTTGGATACTGCAGCCTCGGGGTAATGTTATTTTCCAGCCATCCCTGCCAAGAGATCAATCTGTCCCTATCCATTTGCAGACTGTGGTCAACTTCTGTATAGCTTTCATGAGACCTCTTGAGAAACTTTGAGCCAGGAGAATCAACAAACGTTCTTCTTTTAACTCTATCCGTCCTCTCCTTGGAAAACCTAGAAGGCTGAGATGAAATAAAAAGTGCTTAGGATTGATCAAGATAAGCAATTGACAAGTACTCAGGGATTCTATCAAGCTTACCTGTGTCTCCTCCGTACTAGGGAACAGCCGAGTTAGGAGTACAGAAACTAAATCATGCCTGAAAAATGATTATTTTCTGAGTGCATTATAGAAACAAGTATTGAGATTAAGATAGAATAACAACTATTTCGTACCCGTTTGATGTAAGCTCAAGGATTTCAGAAAACCATGTATCTTTGACCAAATGATGCAGTTTCTTTCTCTTCACAGAGAATATATCTCCTTTCTCTTCACTGATTCCTGATAATTCAAACTACAAAATCATATCTCTTAATTATTGACTAGTATGTTTTGCATCTTTGAAATGTAGATCAATCTAAGAACTAGGATATCAAAAATCTACCTCCACTTCCAGATCTCAGGTTATTACCACTTGGAACTGTGTCCTTATCTCCACTGACTGATGAAGAAGATTTCCCATTATCTCTTCCTATAAACAACAGAAATCAGAAGAATGTTTATGGATCACTACTTCCCAAATACCTGTAAGAGAGTATAAACATGTAATGGAAACAAAATTGACACATGCATCCTGATAAGAGACAAGAGATCATATATCATGTGGAATAAACATGCACCAGGAAATCAAAGTAACAACCTCTATCCCTTTGAGTCAAGTTGGCACATGAACCACGTCTGGCACTATGAATGGGTGTGGAGAAGCTACAGCTCTTGGATCTACCATTATCGTCGCAGTCCGTTCCTGCATATTCTGGTTTATAAAATCGTAGAGATGAAAATCCAGGGGAAAGCCAAGCAGACACTATCATCATCATCACAAAGAAAAAGCTCAAAAAACCCTTTATGGATTTTACCTACTGGTTTGACTCTGGATTCGAAGGTTTTCGGATTTTGCTTAACTTTATTTGATGGTTTAGAATCAGAAGATTCAGAGCAGTGACCAAAACCAGACTTTAGCTTCTTAAAGAACGCAAACTCCGAGGTCTTGGCATCAACCGCTGCAAATAACCAATACCAGGCGATTTACAATCAAATTCAACATTCTAAAAAATCTAAGCTTATTCGGGTGAACTAGACACGAACACTTACATCCTCCGGCCTGAGATTCGTTCAAGGGACTCCGATGATCAACATTGTCGAAACTCACCCTTCTCCTGCGTTTCAAATCTAAACCAGAAGGATACAAAATTCAAAAATACACACTCACGGACACGAAATCGAGGATTTGAAATACCTGAATTTGCTCGTGAGCTTGAAGGATCAGTAAACTTGAATCCGATTTGTGGATCGGTCTTCTTTAGGGTTTCGTCAGCTTTCGTTCGCTGATTCCTTCTTCTCATCACCGAGTATCTGATATCGTTCTGCAGAATCGTGGATCAAACGCTGCTAATTCACGAAGGAGATGAAGAATGTGAGATTTCACATAACGCGTCCATGGCGATTCATAAGAATTTGAAATCGGAGAAGATAGAGAAATGAATTTTGGCGGCAAAATCAACCCTAATTACAGATTCTTTGCTCAAATCAATTTCTTCATTTTTTTAAGATTGCCACGTCGTCGCATTATCCAGATGATACTGATATGTGAGCACACGTGTCATACCACAAGTGGTGAAAACGATTCGTTTTAACACCAAACAATCTAAAGCTTTTTGTCTTCATTTTCTCTTTTTTTTTTTGCTTAGCCTTTTCGGATCACACACACAACTGCCAACAATCACACACAGATGGCGATGACGTCAGCAGCTACCGGATTTATCCTGACGGCCAGCGTCCCGGCCGCCGTAGGCGGTGGTTCTTCAAAGAGCGCCACCGTTGTGTCTTTCTTGCCGATGAGAAGCTTCGGTTCGAGGCTAGTAGTCAGAGCGGCGGATGATGCATCTCCGGCAACCGCCTCTTCGGAGGGTTCTTCCACCACCGCTGCTCCGGCGGAAGCTCCTGCCGCGAAACCTAAACCTCCTCCGATTGGCCCAAAGAGAGGATCCAAGGTCACCTCTTCTTCACTTATTCATACATAATCTTTTTTTTTTTGTGCACCATTCATACATAATCTATGATGCATGTTTCTACTTTGAAATTTTGAGTTTATTGATAGACAAGTTTGGACTACAATAAAGTTTCTGGACTATTTAGAATAATTTTGTACTTATGGGGTCAATGTGAAACTTATATGAAGTTTTGGACCTCTAGATCAGGATTACAAGGAAATATAATCCTTGTGGTAGAAGAAAATTCAAGTTTAATAAGATGTTATTAGAGAAGATTGGACTAATATTTTAGCTAAATTGGGTATCATCAATAAGTTCTGGGTCTATTTAGTACATCTTAAAGAGTTATGGGGCTAATGTGGAACTTATTTGAAATTTGAGTATGGGGCTAATGTGAAACATATGAAAATTTTGGGGACTTACAGGTCAAGATTCTAAGGAAAGAATCCTACTGGTACAAGAACGTTGGATCAGTTGTTGCCGTTGATCAGGTAATGCATCTACTTTTGAACTTAACGATCTTACGGTTAGATTACATTTCATCTCATATTCCAGTTTAAATTGTCAGGACCCGAAGACTCGATATCCGGTTGTGGTTCGATTCTCGAAGGTGAATTACGCGAATATATCGACCAACAACTATGCATTGGACGAGGTCGAAGAAGTAAAATGAGAGACATGGTTTATCTCTGAACCGGTTCGTCTGTTTGTAATCTTGAACAAAACCGTATGTACCATAAAGTTTACCAACAATTCATCTTTATCTTTTACAATCTCAAGATCGATTTCCAATATGCATTTAGCCACCGAAAATCGATTGCAAATTCCAAGTATTGTTGATTAAACTCAGCAACTCCGGTTTAGTGTACAGAACCCGGCCTGACTCACTGACTGTTTATTACGTAGAAAGAAACACAAGATTCTTATTGAAAATCTCTCTATATAGACAGTGAATTCAAACAGCAATCATCTCGACTTCAATAAGGAAACATGAAGAAATCACCAACCAGTTTCATCTCTAAAAATCTCTAGGTCTGACCGGTTTTTCCATTGGCTTCAGCTAACATTGCCTCCAGTTCTCCTTTATTGTACAGCTGCAATGTATCTGTTCAACAATAATGATATGCAGATCAAGTTACCAGACAAATCACAAGACATCAAGCAAGATTTTGAGTACTATCTTGGTGCCAATATACAGAATGACGATCTCATTTACATAATGAGATAGAAAAATCTCGGTGTTGAGGTAAGAGAGGAAGAGAGAATGTACCTGAGCAGCCACCAATGTGCTTGCCTCCTAGTCATGAACAAAAACATGATATCATAATTAGATTTGTTAAGTGATGATCATAGCAAATGCAGTGGCTAAGATTTGATCGCAGTTTTGTGATTGAGAATGTTTTGTTTTCAGGCAAAGAATCAAGAAAAATTATCAGAGTGTAGTTAGTAACAGACGCAAATGATGAAAGAACTAACCAATGAAAACATTAGGAACAGTGTATTGTCCAGTAATTTTCTCCAACACATTTTGTAGCTGCGGCCCCTCTGAACCTGGAAATGTCGAAAACCACCAAAACATTTGTAAATGTTTCAGACCAATATCATGAAGACAGAGATGGTTTACCCAAAAACTAAACAAGACAAGAAAGAACAAATGTTTATGGAAAGTCACCAAATCTTGACACGAGATAAGATTACTAAAAAGATAGCAATTGGATAACAGTTTGTAAGAAACTGAAGGACAGAGTCAAAGATCCAAAGGCAGGCAAGTGTATCTTCAATATCTAAGCTTTAAGCCATTAGATGTACTACCCTAACCACGTTGATTCTTCATCAACAAGCCAATCTTTTGTCCAATCAAAACTACTCGAACTAATTTTATTAACAGAAACTTCAAAATGTAATCAAGGGACATTACTAACCATCAATCCTCCATCACAATCTAATCCAGAAACATTAAGAAACCAAATCAACCGGAAGACGAACAAGAAACAAGTATCAACGTCATCTAGTATAAATGTTGACTTGAAACAAACATTTCCTTCAGTGATGTAAGCATACCGAGTTCATCCAATTCAACAACCAGTGGCTCAACTTGAAGACTCTTGAACAAGGACTTCACTTCAGACGAGTATCTTCACCACAAGAACAAACCCATTTCAAATTTAAGCAAAAGTACCAATATTGATATAGGGAAATCAAACTAGGTCATCTATAAAACAAAACCCATTACTCTAATTGAACAAAAAAAGGATTGTGATTTACAATATAAACAAGTGTGAACCTACGAGCAATAGGTTTTGGAGTAAACAACGACAGGGTTCTCTGCCACAGTCGTTTTAACAGTCTCTTCCAATGTCGATCCGAATGAAGACATGGCCCTAACAGATGAACAACGTTGTGGTGGCCACGACGCGATTCCGATTACTGTCGGCTTTAGACATCTCCTCAAAGGTAACATACCCAAGCTTCTGATTCCGCTTAACATGGAGAAAGAGATTGCTGGATTTGAATTTAGCGACGTCCATGTCATGTTCGCAAGGTTAACTGTTGCGGCTACCATGGCGATTTCTTCCGATGGAATTCGATGCTTTCTTTTTTTATTTTGCCCTCAAATTCTTTTACCTCATTTTATATCAGCGATATTTTTTTTGTGTTAAATACCAATAAAGCTCATAGGTTTTTTTTAGTCCTGGCGTTCGGTTATCAGGTTCCGTTCCATTCGATTTCGGTTTTTTCGATTTTAAAATTTAGTTTCCATTCGAGTCTCTTGAAATTTCGGTTCGGTTCCGGTTCTTTCGGTTTTAAAATTTAGTACCATTCTGTTAATTTGCTTTGGATATTTTCGGATATTTTCCGGTTATTTTCGAGTATTTTTGATTATATGGTCTATAAATAACTAATATTTTTGAAAATGTAGTTGTATTTCGAGTATTTTCGGTTATCCGAAATATTTCGATTCGGTACCGATTCGGTTACGGTTCTTTCGGTTATAGAATTTAGTATCCATTCGGTTATTTTAAAATTTTCGGTTCGGTTCTTTTTGCTTCAGTTTTGATTCGATACATTCGGTTCAGTTTATTTGTCCAGGCCTAGGTTTTTTTTAAAGATTGTTGTAGTATTTCATTGAATAAGTTTAGGACTTTAACACATTATATATCATGTAACATTAACAACAACAAAAAAAGATGAAGAGGATAGGAGAAAAAGATACTACTAGTTCTTTGATGAGACATTTAAGACTTTAAAACAGTAACAGAGATTATTCAACATCCCAAAATGGGATTTGTGTCTGCAAAATCCAATCTATTGAAAGTACACAAAACAAAACATGTGCTTTCTCTCCTCCTCCACCTCCTTTCTCTTAGATCATTTTTCATCTCAAGATGACCCTTCATTGTTTGGCTCACAAATCTGGATCGATGTTTTCGACAAGCTTGCTTCCAATTCATCAAGCTCATCCATGTCTAAGTCATCATCATCATCATCGTCTTCATCATCTTCTTCGACTTCTTTTGAACTCTGTTCAGCATCACCACTACTCTTGCTTGTCCCTGCCTCTGTTTCTTTGTTCTTTGCCTGACAAGCAAAAACTCAAGATTCCATTAACATGACTTAGTACGTTTAAATGATGAGAGAGAGAGAGAGAGCTCACCTTCTGTTCAGTCTCTTCCTGTTCTCTTTCCCTCTCGTATTCTTCACAAGCTTCAGCATCATCCACAAACAAGCTTGCATTGGACAGAAACAGCTCCCGACCACTGAGGTTACAAATCCACACAATGGATCAGCTTACAAGGACAAAACAGAGTCACATTGGAGATTGATATGCAACAGAATGATGAATGGGATTACCTCATACGGTCGTTCTTAGCTCTCTCCGCTTGAGAAGCAGCCAAACCGGCATCTCTCTCAGCTATTTTCTTCCTCTTCCATTCCATAAATAGTGCAGGAGTCATTTGTGTTGCAGTTTGCAGTTTTGCACGCTGAAACATAGAACAAGAAAACATGGGTCTCAAAAATCAAGTACACGGTCCTAGCAGCTATGAGCAGATTGGGAACTGGAAAGGTATTAAACCTCGTTTTCGATTTCGTCCTCAACTGCCAGCTTCTTCGATGACTCCTCTTCCAAGAGGGCTTTCATTTGAGATTTAAGGACATATCCAGGAGGAAGCGCGTGTCTGTAATGACACTCTTTGCCACCATTGGGGCATGACCAGAACCACCCATACTGTTTCTTTTCCACAGCATCCAGAAAATACTTGCAAACCTATTATATATCAGTAAACACAAAAACAATTACAAGTCTATAAACTCAGCGAGACAAATAATTCATGTGTTTAGAATAGGTTTATGCAGGATGATTTATTGAGATAACACGCAGGGATATTACTTCTTTTAGCATAGAATTAGCTAACTATATAGTTAAGAAAATTTTATTTCAAAATTAAGATTAGCACTAACATCACCAAAAGCATGAGTTCTTATCAGGCATGAACCAAACGAGCAGAAAAACACAAGGGAACAACGGGAGGCAAAATAACATCTAAGACCCTGATGGCTCCCAAGATGAACCGTGCTATTAGCTAAAGGAAACATATCATAAGGTGAATCCTATCAGCTAAAACTTTATCACAACAAAACGAGCAAATGCAACCAAAACTAATGCATCACTTCACATAATACATGTTAAAGACTGTAAATTTGAACACAAACCCGTTCAGACTTTTGTACAGTACATTAACAAGAGAAAAGCTACTGACAAGCATGTACAATGAAACAGGACGCCCTCAAGCAACATGTCCCGACAAGCATACAACAAAAAGTCTGAGAAACACAAAATAAGAGAAACAACTTACGATATCTGTTGGCTTATTCTGATTATATTCATTTTTCTTTGATTCCACAACCTTTTCAAGGGTCTCTTGATCCCACTCATCCATATCTCCATCTAAAGCCACATAAATAAAAGCAAAATAAGACCATCATCCAAAGGACCAAAGGGATGGATATATAAGACACTTTTTGCCACACAAGCTTTTACCTTCATCACGCGTATCGCTGTAAATATCAATCTTCTCACCCTTCCTTTGAATGTTCAAATCGTGAGAGAACTTGCACTTGAAACCCTTTTGACACTGCCCTGCCTTGAAAAACTCACACAGTATAGACTTTGGATCCACACCTGCCAAAAACCACACACCGTATTCAATAAATACTATCGAAACCAAAGTGAACGAACCAGAGAAACAGTATCAACAACATACATACCTACAGGAACTTTCGGCTGACTAATAGCTACCTTGAACAACTCATTCAATTCCTGTTCTCTCGCTTTCTCTTCCTCTTTCTTTTTCTGTCCTCACCAAAAAAAAAAAACCATTTCCTTTGTAAGAACTTATTCAAAAAAGATTTCTCTCTCACACTCACTCATTAGGCATATTAAAAAAATCTACTCCACTATCGAACTAACTTCAAATCCATCAAGAAAACTCAAAACCCAATTCAAGATTCAAGAGTGTACCTTAGCTGCAGCTTTAGTTGCATCAGGTTTAGGCTGCACAGATTGCTTGAGACTCTGAACATACTTCTGAACATTTTTGCTCTTGTTCTTGTTTTTCAATCCGAAAGTTTTGTCTTCCACTTGTTTCTGCTTCTTCGCCAAATCAGCCTTTGGTTGTTGCTTTGGAGGCATCTTCAAACACGTTCAATCGATAAAAAATGCAAACTTTTTTGATGTACACGGATCGATGGTAGGTTAATATATCAAAATTAGGGTTTCTAAGGTTCTGAATGAAAAAGAAAACCCAAATTTTAATCGGTAAAAAACGAAGAAATCACAGAAATCTGTATTGAAGCAAAACGGCGGAGATTCAGAAAATTTGCCCAGAAACAGAGAGACAGACCCTAATGAGTAAATTACCGATCGAGATAGGAGAAAAAGGAGATGAGACAAAGGTACAACATTTGCCTGATTATTAGCCATTTGTCTACTGATACAAACACTAGCTTTTACTATTGTTGGGCTTACCTTTATATAAATGGGCCTACCTTAAGGCCCATATATAGTCATATTAAGGCCCAACTATTGTCGGACTAGAGTGAACAAACATTTTTTTTTTGGTGAAAAGAGTGAACAAAAATTTGTGAACGTGATAAATTTTCCAAATCTTAAGAATAAAAAAAGGGAATGATGTAAAGAAAAAAAGAAGAAGAAGAATGAACAATAATCTTGTTTTAAAAATAATCCAGTAGGAAATATGAAAACAAATAAAGACAAGAAAATGTCAAATAAAAAAAAACAATTATGCATTTTTTTTTCTATTAACTTGTTTCCTTTTGTACAAACCATAACATATGGGTTGGGTGAAGACAACTTCTCAGACTCAAACATAAAAAAAAAGAAGCTAAACTACCAAAAGAAATAAATTTTTACTTAAATTAGGAAAAAAAGAGACTGCACAACACCAACAAGAACAACAAACCAATTAGCCAAGCTTGTCTCTTTTTGTTTGCTCCCAGCAAAACAACATATACACTATGAAATCTCTGGGATGATTAGAGAATTACAATGATAAACAAATAAACAAATCGGCGAATCTAAAAAAAAATTCGCAGCAATTTTCTCTGAGATTCTTCATCATGTTTTTGGATTGTGTTCTTGAAGGGTGGCAGTTTTGGTTTCTCTGAATTACTATTGTAAGAAAACGAAAGATGGATTTTCCAGAAGTTCTTCAGCAGGTTTCACTTGGGCAAAGTCCTTATCTTGCATTGAACTACATAAGTCATCGATCGAGAAGGAAATGATGTTGCTGCGAGTTGCCAAAACGAACGGTTTTGTTAGTTTCTAGAAAGAAAAAGGTCATCATGATTTTGAATCATAGAAGCAAAAGATAGATGCAAAGCCACGCTTACCTAGAATCCTCTTTTAACAAGAAGTCGCTGCTGTCTGTCATAACTCCTGTCATGCTTGCAATTACCTATTGATCGATGAGCGAGCATTAAACTACTAGAGCAGATGATCTTAAAGAGCATATATGTCAAGAGAAGAGAACTATTTCCTCAGAAAGCTTACATCTTGGGAAACACTCTTTGTGTTGTAGATTTCATCCTTGTACAGAGTACACAGTTTAAAATGCTGCTGTATTTGAAGGTTCTGAGTGAAGGAAAACTGGTGTAAGCATAATCACAATGTCAAAGTTCACCAGTTATCGGTAAAAGAGTTGGTTGATAGAGAGACTTACTGGACACAGATCATTTGCAATCTCATCGTATGAGATGTTGTATTTCTTATGGATGAGCTGTTGTAGACGCAAATGCAAGGGGGAAATACGTGAGAAACGCAAACTCTTACTTAGATTCAAGTAAAGTTTAAGTTAATTTGCTTAAACGACATTTCCTAATTTCAAACATACCAAGAATCCAACAGCTTGTCTGGTATGCTTGAGTTCGTCCCAGGATGAGCCAGCATACTATCAGAAGAGATATTGTGTTATGTATAAACCCAATTGACGATAACGAAAGAAGAGAAAGGAAACTGTACTTGGGAATACCTCTTCTTTTGTTTCGGAGCACCATTTCTCTAACTTTTCTAAACCAGATTTTAGATATTCTCCATTGATAAATGAACAGTTATCTGGACGCGTGACAAGGCTGCATATATGAAAGACGAAGTCGATTAGAGTCTGCTTATCATAGATATGCATATTCCATATAGACAATAACAATTTCTCACCTGTTACATAGTTGGACATTGATGAGTGAGAAAGCCTGAGAGAATATCTTTTGTATAAGAACTGGAGGAACCTGTAACAATAATAAGTTATAAGAATTTCTTGACATTTAGAGAGATAAGAGCAGTGAGTGGAAACGAGTTTCACATACAAAGCTCTCTTTTAGTGTGCTTAGCAGTGCATCGAGGCCTTCAATAATGTCTTGCCAGTATTTAGCAGTGGTTATAGATATTAGCGCATTCCCCTTAAATGTTTTTGGTGCCTAGCAAGATTCTCTCATGTCAGCTTACAACACATACATACAAAGGAAAGATGAAAGTAGAGAAGCATTGTGGATCATAGCACCTGGATGCAGAGAGCAAGGACAGTGTTCAACTCCTTTTTCAGGTTATCCCAAATGATTCCAGAAATCTTTTCAACATATGCTTCAAGTTGCTGCTTGAAATGCAAAGCTGGATCCTTGGCATCAACTGGTCGTATAGCTTCAGCCGCTGGAGAACGGAAACCCTGTAAAAATATAAGGTAAGGATTGTTTAGTTTTTGGAGCAGAAACTCATCAACACAAGATTATTAAAATTAAAAAAAAAGAGTATATTTACCTTGGTCATCCATCGGACTAAGGAAGGTGACTGTCGAAGTGGAGTGGCCCCGGTTCCACCAGATTTCAGACTTTGTTGGAGCATGAATAATAAGGTTGACGTATTAGATAACCAATATGCCAAATTTGCGTCGTTATCTTCATCCTGATAATAAGAATCACTAATCATTCAACTCTGATAATAAGCAGATTTATACAGACATAGACAAGACAGCATCTCATTTTAGTACCTTTATAGCAGAACCAATCATTTGAACGAGACGATCAAAGACATTGGTTCTTTCTGCTTCAAAGGATTTCCAATGAAGAAGACATTTGTAGATGGTAAATGCCGCTACAGGCTTCCCGTGGCTGAATCCAACATTCTTTGTGACAGAGTTGATAAGGGCATCGACATCCTCCTTTTCCAAAAAACCAACAAATCTCTCTTCAACCAAAGAGGGGATAGACTAAAGATGAGAAGCACATAAAAGAGTAATTTAACGAAACAACATACATGTTGAGGATCATTATGGGATCCCCTTGACTTAGTGTCAGATCCTGATTCTTGTATCCTTGGCGGTGTTGTAAACTCCGCTCCCTGCAAAGACGGCTTTTATAGATATATAAACAAATGGAGCAGAACTTCAAATAAAAGTAGACAGAAAAGGAAAGACATTTTACAAGTACTGCACAAAATAAGAGCAATATTATAATTAGGATGATTGAGAGAGTCAGATGTAGACATCCAAATATTTCTCTGGGCATGTCTACCTTTAATGGAGTAGAAAGGAATCGTCCTGATGCTGTCTTAACAGGAGTGGTTAAGACAGATTCCTTCAAAAAGTTATTTTCAAATTTCACCTCCTTTAATTTCTCTTCGAGACTGCAATGAAGAAAAAGCACATATGTTGACTGTCAGTGGGTAAAGAAAGCCTTAACATCTCTGTGGAAATTCAATAGTCAAAGTGACCAATAGTGCATACTTGTGCATGGCGGTCTTCAAATTATCAATTTTGTTTTCAGCGTCTAAAGCCTTCTTCAGCCTCTCCTCACTAATTTTCTTTGTCTCCTCAAATTTTTTCTCTGTTTCATCAATCTTCTGCTCCAGAGAACTTACCAGCGACTGCATATGAAAGAGAAATGAAATTTTAAATATTTCTTTGTTTTCCACAGCTTTGAAATCCTTAGTAAGAAGCAAAGACAAATATATAATAGGCAAACTCCCTACCTTGAGTGTTTCGTTTTCACTTGTGAGTTTCTCCATTAGCTCGGTGTCAACAACAGGAACCTCCTTTACTACAGGAACAATTTTTGCAGTCTTTTTCGCAGCTTCCACTTCCTTTAAGAGCGACACTTTGGTTTCCTCGAACTGGAGTTGTATTTCTTCCAATGCTAACTGCAGTTTTGCGTTTTCTTGAGTTTTACTTTCTTCAACGTCCACCTACAATGTAAAAGCCACAAAACAGGTGAAGGTTATGTTGAATCAGGATCCAGGGATAAGTTTTAGAAAAGAAAAACTTTTGAGGATGGGTGAAAAAACCGAAAAAGATAAAGAGCTGTGTTTTATCTGACCCTCATTCGTTTCTCTAGGTCCAGTCTCCATGTGAGTTCTTCCACTTGCTCCTGAAGCTTACTCTTGGCAGCCTGAAGGACTACAGTATCCCTTGCAGCCTGCAGGAAATATGAAGGCATCATTTCTGTAGCTTTTCATTAAAGGAAAAAGCGCACATGTTCCGTCTCTGTGTTCAAGACAATCAAATGGAAAGGGCAATTTCCAGCTGCTACTTCCATCATGTAAACTCATCTAATCCCATTGTTTAAACTCATCAAAAGACCAAACATTATCTGAGGTGTTACAATTTCCATGTGAAATGCTTAGACTGTAAGGTAAAAAAATAAATAGATACAGACAGAAGTGAGAGGTAGAAAAGCACACCGTCTTAAGCTTTCGCAGTTCTATACGAGCTAGCCTTGCTCTCCATGCACTTTGTGTAGTAATTGCTGCTTTTTTCAGCTTCTTGTAGTGCAACTCGGCCTGGAGTCTACGGCAATGGCTCTGGTATATGCAATGAAAAACTAAAAATCAGAGTCTAGAAGAAATTTTGACGAATGAGAAAAGCCTGCGAAGCTCAAGATGAAAAGAAAAAGGAAGAGACATTTTTTATTCCATTAATTTTTCCACTAAAAAAAGATTTCTCCACCTGAATGACAGTTGTGGCCTTGGTCTTCCTTCGTAGTACGACACGAGCAGCCATGCCGCGCAAACCTGACTGAACTGTAACAACAGCTTCAATGTAAGACCTCTTCCTATCAAGGTGAATCCGCAAAGCTCTCTGGATCTTCAAAGCAGCAGCTTCTCTGCGCAAGTTCTCAAATCTATATCGAGCAACTTGTCCTGTTAATGATGGATAACAAAGCAGATAATAAATGAAACAGTCACATTTATTAGTCTGAATGGTTAAGTTAACTTATATTCTTTACAACTTTTAGATACCTCTGTATACAGCCTGTATATTTATTGCAGCGTTGCGGAGCATAATAAAGCTTTGGCGGGTCAGGTAGGAGCGGAATTTCCACTGGATAATGCAGGCTGCTCTTCCTAATACCTCAGTCCTCCGATCATCTAACACAGCCATCTGCCCAGCCTTGAGGAAAACCTTCGTCTTTCCAATCTGTGAAAACAAGAACATATTAAGCTCCACATAAAATCGGGATAAATCAAACAAGGATTCATCCAATTCCCAAACTTGGCTGCTCAGAAAAGTATTCAACATGATGTGTACAATATAAGTACCTGGTATTCTTGGAGTCCAACTGTCTCCAGAAGTTTCTTGCACGCTGCTTTCTCATCAGAACTAATAGGAACAAGCCAAAAGTCAGAAATTTTTCAATACAGTATTGGGTAAGCTTTCAACCTCTGAATTGAGAAAGGCAAACCTCTTATCCAAAGTAGCAGAAGCTAGGATACCAAATCTGTCCAGGAATTCATCAAAATGTTTTCGTGTAGGGTATCCAGCACGGCAAACCCTGATTGTCTCCATCACACCCTAAGAATATGCTTACACAGAATTTTTAAACTCGCAAAGAATAATAACAAGCAAATGTGCACAGACAAACCAAATTGTAAGTAAATCTCACCCCACAACGTAGCTGTTGCAGACTATTTTGGTTCTCAAAGATGGAAGGCTTCAGGAGATTATTGGGCTTCACGCAACGAATATAGTGAGGCTCAGTAGTACTAAGACCTTCAATCAATGATGCCAATTGTTGCTGCATAAAGTAAGACAGTGAATTTAGTAATCCTGTGATGGAACCGAACGATTTTTACATAGAAACTATCTCATTTAACGGCACCTTAAATTGTGAAGCTATAGAAGAGAACTTTGACTGTTTGTTAGCATCTTCCATTAGAGGAGGAAATAGACCTGCAATAACAGTGCACCTAGAAGCACCTAGCAGAGCCTGATGCTCAGCAACAACATAATCTTTGTTCTTTTCCAGAAACTGCTCGGTCTGATAAGTGACCTGAAAAGATGACTCAATATTTTTAGGATATATATAAACAACTCGTATTTCAGGACATGATTGCATTTTATAAATGCTAAAACAGGTAATTTACTCACATCACCAGCATAGTGGCAAATTGTGAAGTCAGTTCGAGATAATTTTGGCTTGCTAAAGTACTCGTTATCTTTCAATGTTTCGTACAGCTTCTGAGAAAATGTTTTATGTGTTGATCTTGGGAACATGCTGCAAGATACAGGTATACAACTTCAAGTCAAAGGAGAGACAAGATATGCGGAATAATAGCAATTTAAGCTCTTAGGCTTACCAAGCCTCGTCCAGAAGAGCGATAATACCACCACGTTTCTGAAACGTAAGAAGACAATGATGAACATGCGAGTTTGACTTAAAATGGAAACTATACACTAAGAGCGCGCAGGTAAATCATAGTGAAACTGGTTACCTTCTCAATAAGTTCCAAAACATCTCGATTATCTGGGAAATTAATGTGGCTCCACTCAATTTCTTCTTTCTTGTACTCGTCTTGTTCCATTTTCAAGACGTGCTGCCCAGAAAAAGTGTCATGGATAAGAAAGGAGTAAGGCTGAATAAAAAGACACTATCAGAAGAAGGAGCAGGCCTCAGACAAACCTTAGTAAAATGTTGCTGAAGTTTCTCGTTTGTCAAATTGATGCAAAATTGCTCGAAACTGAAAAAAACCATGCATTAGTAAGCATCAAAAGCAACATGCACTTGAAAATTTTCACCTTTCTTCCATATCAGAATGTAAATATTCTTAACAAAAGCAAACACTGTCTTATGAATAAAGGATTCCAAAAGTCAAAAGTCTCCTATTTTCCATTTACTTGATATACAGTAATACCAATGAGAATAGTGACTTTAGTACTCCATTCCAAAACTAGAGATTCATGTCATGTGCCTGATGTTTCATGTGAGCCTTTGTTCCATAGTATTTCACTAAACCGGTTTCATTGCATTAACCAAACATAAGGCATACCGATTAAGCACCTGTTTGTCTTAAAACTCTCAAACCCATATATATCCAGCACTCCGATCATGTGTTTTGATTCAGGATCTTGCCCAATTGAATTATTGATCTTGTTTACGATCCTACAAGAGCAATAAAAAAAGTTAGCAAATAGTATTGAAAGTAACTTTTGGAAACAAGTAAGAGAATCATCCAGCTGCAAGAAATTATATGAAATACTATATATATACCAATCAAACAATCTTGAGTAGACAAATTTTGCCAAGGCATCTCTGCTGAGTGCCGCAGAATTTGGATCCAGACATCTGGAAATTGTTTCTTCAGGTGTCACCATTACACGTTTACAAAGAGAATCTTCCAGTGCCTGCTCATCACACCTGCAGAAATTTATGGAATCAGGAATGAGTTATTTTCACATTGTCACATATTCGATAAACCAAGTATCAGAAAGGGTGCATTTAACATTAAAATTCAACTCAGTTAGTTACACACATGAAAAGCTCAGCCGCAATCTTCAGGTGTTTCTTAGACTCATCAGTTGGAACTGAGGAGTCTGGTTCTTCTCCTATTGCAAATTCTATGTTACCTAGATGAAGAATAGCTGCCACAACTTGAAATATAGCTTCCTGAAAAGAAAGTGATATCAAATACACTCATACACCAATATCACCATTTTTACTAAGAGAAGGGTAAGAAAACTACCTGCTCCTCTAAACTTATCCCAACAATGCCCATTGCTTCTCGGGTTTTAGTATACTCCTTCGAATCATCCACCCCCTCTAACTTAATACAATGAGATTGATTCAGATAACGGAATTCTGTTGGATCGTTCAACTTTAGTTTTCTTTTGTCCTGTCAAATATTGAAAGGAAAATGAGAAGCATCAGGACAATAGTTTTCAGAGATTTGGGCTTAGAAAACACTGCCAAATTTCAATGCAGTTTTCAAACTTTCAGTAAATGGGAACAAGGATACAAGAGACTGAAGATAAATGGAATTTTTTTAATATTTATCAAAATAGTTGTTCGTGGATAGTGTATCCTGATGATTGATGGATATATCAAATATTGAAGCTTCCAGATAGAAGAATCTCTGACAACTCTTGGCATGTTAGAAAAGAAAGAAAAGCCATATGTACCTCTGGCGGTGCAGCACAAAGCATGTAAAAACAGTGATAGTTTCTCTCGGGATCTGACACTTGACAAACCCGTGATCTCTCTAGCAAATACGTTCTGATAGCAGCTCCTGATATCTTTCCCCTTTGATCGAACTGAATCTCAACGAATTTACCAAATCGACTGCAGCATGATAATGAAAAAGTGATGAAATAGTTGGTCAATGGATGTTGTGATGAAAAATTGTGAGTTTGTGTGCGTGTGTGTCTGTGTTACATTCACCTTGAATTGTTGTTCTTGACGGTTTTTGCATTTCCAAATGCTTCTAATACAGGATTGGACTGCACACAAAGAAAACATAAACCATTCATGTCAAAGAATGATCTTTTACTAAACTCTACAAATCCAGTCTTTGACAATCCACAAGGTCTATAGTAAAATCTTTGCCAATAGTTACCTCCAAAACTTGATCTTCGACAGTCCTTCTGTCAGAAACAGCTCGACCTCCCATTTTCGCCAGATATTTCATAAGCATTTTAGCAGTCTCAGTCTTCCCTGCTCCACTTTCACCACTTACCAAGATTGATTGACTAATTCCCTCATTAATCATTTGTCTAGACCCAACAGAAAACAAGAAACCAAAAATGTCAAACAGGAATCAACCAATGATGAATGGAACAAGAGTTCAAAGTTGAATGGCAAGCACCTGTAAGCTGCATCTGCAACTGCAAACGGATGGGGACTCAATTCTCCCAACGCGGCTCCTTTATATTGTGCCATCATATGGTCATTGTAAAGATCCGGTAGTTGTTTAAAAGGGTTTACCGCAATCAATATATTTCCTGTGTAAGTCTAGTAAGCAAAAAGAAAAACAGGTTTTAGGCCAATTTTACAGATCAAAAAGAAAAAGGGCAAACAGAAGGAAGCTCACATAAATTTCGTCTATATAATATCTTGATTTCAAATTTTCTAGGACTCCTGGTTCATGTAAATACGCTAGCGTTGTCATATCGTCCACTCCAGAAGGTGGAGCTTCCATATCTTTTGGATATGTGTTTGAACCTTTGACAACAACCTGAAAAAAAATTCAACAGAAAGTTATGAGAAACAATCCCATTAACATATCAGGGACAAACATATACAGATTCCATCCTTAAGCATAGTCAAGTACATCTACATTCGGTTATACATACCGTCTTCCCTGAGGTACATTGGACCTTAATATCTTCTCCATTAACCTCAACAACTTCACCATCTATCCATGCCTCCTCCGGATCTTGCACCCAAACAATCGAGCCAACTTTAACTGTAGAACAAGCCTGAAGAACAACAAACAAATCAAATACATACCATTAGGAAATATAAAAAACTTCAAACTATGTGAGAGGACACAAACAGCATTCAATAGTCCAAGAACTAAGACCCCACAAACTTTGGTTTCTGAATAAAGAGAATTTAATAATAACCATGAAAGCAACAAATGATAAAACCTTAAAGACCATTGTTCAATCTCTGTATAAACAACAGAGCATAAATAAATGAAGCCCAGAAGAAGCAAACACACACAAAATTTGGAATAAAATCTCAAAAGAAGATCATTCAATTCTGCACCAACAAAAGTTAACACATTTGCCGTTTGAAACAACAACAAAAAAAATCAAAACTTTAAGTAAAAGCAAAACGAAAGAAACGCTCAAATGGTATTGAAACGGTGATAAACCCAGAAATTAGAAGTACCATTTTCACCGGAGATGAATCAAATCAGAAACCCAAGAGATAGATTCCTGTAGCAACAAAGAATCATTCACTTGCTTGAGCTAGAGACGAGTTCTATATGACTCAAGAGTGTGAATGCAAAGAATAGATTCTCAGAGAAAGAAAGAGATTTTGTATCTTATAGAGTTTGAGAGAGATATGTGTGAAAGCTTTAAATTAAAACCCTTTGAGCAAATTTATAGAAGAAAAAAAAAAATGCTAATGAAGAAATCATAAATCTATTTTTTTCTGTTTTCTTTTAATTTCTTCTCTCTTTCTACTTCTGTGAACAAATTAGTCTTTCTAGAGTAAAGTAATTAAGGCTAATTTAGCATTAATTAACAGTAAATTCCAAAAATACCCCATTTTGATTCTAATCTCTTTTGTTATTTTCTAGAAATAAATGGGGAAATCCAAATTTAACAAATCGGAAAATATCTAATTCTTTTGTTTTTACCATCTTTTGCTTCTTTTACTTAAAGTTGCTAACTTTTCCCTTTTACACTCTAACTAATCAAGTTATTGTCTCTAAACTCTATGTGAAACGTCATATTCACATAATTTTAATTAGACTAATTAGACATTTGCAAATGCTTAATTAGAAGTGAAATTTTATTTATGTCATTAATGTTTAAATAAATATTTTAGTAAAAAATCTCAGTGGACCAATGAAATGATAACATGTGACTTGATTTAAAGGAAATGTAAGTATTTGACAATGTTTGTTAAATAGAAAATATATTATCCCATTGGAAATTTCTATTTAAAATGACTTAATTTAGATTATTTATTTTATCATTTATTCATGATTTAAATAAAAGAAAAAACACACTAGTTATTTAAAAAAAAACTATGTTAATAATAGTGAAAATAATTAATTTTAAGATAAAGTTAACAAAAAATTAATGGTGAAGAGGTGATTGTTAATTTTATGTTGATTTTCTACTTTATTAGCATTAAATTGAGTTAAATTTTTCTTTACTAATAAAAAAAAACTATTTGCAACTAATTAGTTAATTTTGTATTTATCTGATTTAAATATATTGAATAACAATTTCTGTAAAAAGTTTGTCTATTCATTTCCAATAATCATAAATAAGTGTCTTATATAATAGTTTTATTTAAATATTGTTTCTCTACACCTACTTAGAAAGTTAGGAAGCCATACATACATTTTTTGATTCGATTATTGAACAGAAAAAGATTGAACATCAGGTGCCAAAGGGTCTGGTTAATTAGTGGTTTAACTTAAACCACTTGCCTACATAAACCTTCCACGTTTTATACTTATAATATGTACACGAAATTAGGAAAACTTATTACAACAACTGTTGTGAGGTCTTTTTGAATTGTAAACTTTTGTGTCTATTCTTTTATTTTATCGAAAACCTGTTATCATATTAAACTTTTTGGCTTTTATTTTGGAAATAGTTCGAGAAAATTTATGATTAAATCCTATAATTTGAGAACAGGATAAAAAAAAGTGTTAATACGCTTTGTAAGTTGTAAATTTGCTAAATAACCATTAATAAATAAAGGTTATTGTTGTAAAATTTATTATTAACCAATAAAAGAACGCCACATGTCACCATGTTGACTGCTGTCCGTTTACAAATTCGACAGTTCTGTTGATACACAGAACAAAATGATACTTTAACGGTTGACCCGCCCAAACACAACTCTTAGGCTCGTCTAATCACGGCTTCACGGGTCCACACAATCAGCCAATTTTTTTTCTTTCGTCTTTTCATTTTTAAGTTTTTAATTAAGATATAGAAAAGTAAAGGAAACAGGACAAATATTTTATAAAATCTTTTAACAAATTAAACTTATAATTAAGAAAATATAATTTGAGAGATGGAGTTCTTAGAAATAAATATATTGCTTTTAAATTAAATGAGAGATGCGTTGGTGTTGTTGGTTATGCCAACAACTTTGTTTTTGGAATCTTAAATTAGACTAGAACAAAATGAGAGATGCGTTGACGCTTTTATGCTTAACAACAAGGTCAAGTCCAATAGTCCAAACGAGTAGAGACGACAGATATCACTCACAATGATCTCCTTTGACATAAACTCTCTTTCAACTTGGTCAAAATTTTATTTGAGGACAGAAATAGCAAAAAAAAAAAACATACACTAACAAGGATTAAAGCAAGATGAGACACATAAAGTTAGTACCCAATTTCTACCAAAGATATAGATTTTGCCGATGGTTACGGGTTCCGACTTTGAGACACTTCATCGTGATCAAGATTTAGAGGCAATCCTTAAACATCTTACAAACATGGTCATCAAATTGCCGTACATAGTGTCGTGCTCAGGCATACTAAGGCTTTAGGCGAATTAGAAAAATGTAACATTTTTTATTTAAAAAAAAACTAAAATAATAATAATAATTTCTCAAAAAATATATGTATTAGTGTTAATAAAACCCAAAACAAAGAAATTCTAAAGCACAATTTGTATAATAACAACAATTATTAGGATATGGGCTATATAATACACAAATAACTCAAACATATTTATTAAACTAATAAAACTCATAATAAGAATTATTAAAAAATGTGCTCTTTTAGATTTTCAAATTTGGGTCATTGTTTTATAACATATATTCAGTCATTGTCAAGCCTCCCAATATACTTATTGGTTCAATGGAATACGGTCCAGAGGTTGACATATGATCGGTTGGTTGCGTTTTGCTCAATTTTTGAACGGAGCATCACAAATCTTGCATGGCCATGAACAATTTACCCGAAAGCTCCTTGGCGAAGGAGAAGACAGGAAGGCAGACATGGCTATTACTGTTTCAAGAGAGGAAAAAACTCCACCGATTAAAGAATCTAGCGGTCTGGGTAACTACAAGAAGATTGAACTAATTGGCAAAGGAGCTTTTGGGTAAATTCTTCTTCTTCTCAATTTCTAGAGATATGAGTGGAAGAGACGTACACATAGAGGCCATAAAGGCATAAGCCATGCGAGGTTGATCATGACGTCCAAAAGTCCTAGATCGTTTTAGAATATAAAATGATACAAACATATCCCAAGCAAATAATCTTCAACATGTTTTTAGTGAACATAGGTCCAATATTTGACATAATTACTTTTACTAGGTGAATACCCGCTCTATTAGCGGGCTTTCGCTTTAATTTATTTTCTTAAATAAAGTTGAATATTTTTGTTGATCAATTTAGTGTTATAAACATTCACTTTTTATACATTGTATTTCTTTTTTTATAATTTATTTTATTGATAATAATAATTTATAAACCTATGTCTGTAGTAATAAATTAGGAGTGGACAGAAAAAAACCTTATCCAAAAAATCAAATCGAACCGTAACTAAGTAATTCGTTTTGGTTTTGGTTTCTTCCATAAACCTGTTTGGGTACAATTATTTAAAATATTTTGGTTTTGGTTCGGTTTAGTTTGGTTTAAAATCATAAAACATTCGGTTTTTTTATAAATTTTTATTATTATTATACCATTTGTTTGGTTAGCTTTTAATTATTTTTGCAATATGCTTTTCTTTTCTTGGTAATATAAGTTACATGAACAAATTTTCTCAAATTAATGCTATTTTTAAGAAGGTCTATATCGATTCGTGTTTGAGAAGAGTAAATAAGAGTCTTTGAAAAATGATATATTTGATAATAATATTATGTTTAACATTTAATTGGTGAAGTATGTTGGAATGTACTCATGGTTTCATCGAATCTAAATCAAAGATGATACAATTCAAGATAAAAATCTAATATTACCTTTTTTGAAAATTTATGGAATAAACCGAAAATAACCTAAATCAAACCAAGCTGAATTGCATATGGTTTTTGTGTTATTTTTTTTTATAAAACTGATAAACCATAAGATCAAAAAAATCAAATCGTAACCAATCTGAATTACATATAGTTTTTCTATTGTTTCAAAATTTTATAAAACCGATAAAAATGTACGGAAATACGAAAACAACAGATGAAAATGAAGCGAATGATTTTTTCGTGATTTATTCATGGACACGTGGCATTCTCTGGCGTGTTGACGTGGCGAAAGGGATTGAGAGAGTTGACCAACTTCCATATATATGATTCTTGACTTTTTATGTCAATCTAAGCATAACTAGCTCATATCTGGTTTTAATACGAAACCTATTGACAATATTAGCGGATCAGTGTCCATGTTAGTTCTAAACAGGAATTTCCTAATGTGTTTTCCCGAGACTTGCCCTTAGGTTTACCACCGTTGCGAGATATCCAGAATCAGATATATCTTACTCCGGGAGCATCTTTTTCTAATCAACCTCATTATTGAATGAGAGCCTGCATGAACATGAGGAATAACGACGTAAAGGCCATATAAGTGAGAGACTTAATTAACCAATTGTCAAAAAACTAAGAAAAACTCTATAGGAGTTTACAAAACACCACAATAAAGTCTATACTTTCATTAGTACACAGACAAAAAAAAACCAGTAAAGTTTGCAAACTTTGATTATTATAAGACTCGAACTTTCAATACTCTTTTTAGCGTAATTTGTACAGATGTTTGTTTGAATCTCCCACAACAAAACCATTTTGGGCTTAGAAGCAAAAAGATTTCTCACGAAGCTTTTTCACAGGAAGGGTAACAATTCCTCGTATGGATTCTTGAGAGATTATATATATATAGTGGAGAGGAGACTTTGCAAACAAAGTGGTACTTTTGTGTATAGAGATGTAGAAATTAGGTAACTATTTCGTAAAAATATACTATTGTTCCCTTAATGTACTCATCATATCTTTGTTCAAGTACTATTTTTAATAAAAGGGACAACTAATTTAAAAAGCTACAAAAAAAAAGACAAAAATCAAAAAAAAAAAACCGACAATTAAAATCCCTAATCGATGGGTTCGCTTGCTTGTGCTTAGAACTGAACTTGATCAAACCATAACCGCTAGAGTTTTATTGTAGCAAAATTTCCAACTAAACACAACATCATACGACTCTACTTTACCCCAAATTTCTCCTTGGCGTCTTTCAATTGAGATCTCTGCACACCAAATCTCTCTTCTTATAA